AGAGACTTTAGCACTTTATAAGTTTGATGACGTATAAAAGTATAATGTTGGGATGAATTTTTTTTTTTTTTTTTTTTTTTTTGTGTGAAGTGGACTATCTCTAATACGAGTGACATTTTTTTTTTTATTTGTTACCGTATGTTCAGTACAATATAAATGTTGTACTCGACCTGTACTTTAAGAAATTTAAGGAATAAGAGTTACATTATTGATATATGTCATTTTTTATTTTTAAATATTGATGCACTTCTACATAGTACATAGCAATGGAAAATTCAATACGTACAACGTAGCTGTATTAGTGAAACTACCTTATCATAGTTTAGGGTTCTTACGAACCTCATCGAGCCCAACACCAAAACAGTACAGACGAGCTATACATATATAAATGGGAGCAAAATGAAACTAGAGATAACCAACTACCAACTTATTAATTTTCAGCACAAATATCAATCTTACCTCTTTATGGAGGCAGTATAAATAACACTCTTATTATATGCATTGCCAAAATTGTGAATACAAATATAAATGTTTGTCACTAGTTTTAAATCCTTCTAACAGTTACTTTTTTTTTTTAATTAAAAAGACTAATTTAGATGTGGACCTTGCTAACAAACGCATCTGTGGCGTTAGATAAGCATTTAAATAATTGCCTAAAATTGTACTTCCTCCGTTCTGTTAATATTGCAACAAAGAGGAAATTACGCATCCCAAAACACTTTTTATATGCTAAATATCTATAATTGTGTAAGAGTAAAAATTATAAAAAAGTTGATATTGTGAAAGTATTTTATGAGACAAATCCAACAAGATCCCACTTGACTATATTTTGCTTAACGTATAACTCATATTATATGGTCAAACAAGAATGATGAATAGTGCAAAAAGTCCATTATTGCAATATTAATAGAACGGAGGAAGTATTAATTTGGAAAAGTATGACAAAATCACGCGTCGATTGGTGTAATTAATGTTCATTTTAATTTAATCTTTTTACTTTTAGCTAGCTTATCCAACTCCAACGCCCCTAGGGTGTTCATTAGCTTTTGCCAAAACAAATGGCCTGAGGTGATTTTGTTCCATCATCCTCATATTATGGAACATAAAATGTAGGATATGATGTTAATGAAATAAAGTGTTGAGATTGTTAGCTTAATTGAAAGTGTTAAAATCCATGATGCCAGATTTATAATTTATCTTTGCATTACTTATTTATTTACTTGATATTATCAAAGAACAATTCATACTTCATAGAGGTACTCCGTAGTAAATAAAACATAGGCCTAATGAGTTGTAATATCTTGTATGTATCATGTATGCAAGCATATTTGTGTATGTATTATACATTGACTTAGATAGGACGATCTTAGATATTAGGTTTCGATTTCAATACCTACGTACTCTAACTAATTAAGCTAGTTAACATTTACATTTAGAGCAACATTTACATTTAGAGCACGCAGATTTGTGAAGAGCTAGCAAATTTGTGAATTATTGACTGGATTAGTAGACCATGCGTTGCACCATCCAATATAGTACATTAAAGGGACAACCAATTAGGTAAGGCACACTATGTATACAAAACAAACTGTTATACATGAAAATTTAGCATTATCCTCTTTATTCAGTGAGTGGAAAATGTCATAAACTCAAACTTTTATTTGGGATATTGCATGTCCATGCAAGCTGGCAATACAAGACCAATTGAATGGAAAATAAAGGAATGCGAATTATCTAATTGGGGATTTGTCTTTTATTTCTTCACTACAAAATGCTATGTGACTTGAAACATTGACCTTTATTTTAGTGGTTCAATCCTTATCACTATCAGATAATCATGATTTGAGAATTGAGATATATTAAATATTGTTAATGCTAGGTTTAACTATATATCAAGCATAAGTGATGACGTTGACCCCAATTAGTCACATTTGATAATTTTTTATATTTTCTCTTCTAGATGTAAATAATATTTGGATTTTGAATTTTTGTAATCACAATTTAAGCATATGAGACTTTATTTTACCAATAATAGTGGCGTATGACAGAGTTATCTTTGAAGATATAGTCCAGGGTGGAGATAATCAAACATATATCTTGAAATGCATATTAAAATAGTTAATCAATAAAGCTATATGCAGCTCTAAGAAGCTAAAAGTTGAAAAATAGATACTAAATCAACATTTATTACGCCAAATATATTCGTGAATTGTCAATAAATTTCCAACTTTATAATGTACTAAAAAATGATCAAGTACATTAAATGGTTATTTACAACCCATATAACATTACCCTTTTAAGACTAATTCTTAAAAATATCGGTTGGTAAAAAATTTAAATTATTGGCAGAAGTAAACATCAAATTAATGCACATTGTCTAAACTGAAGACTAATGTGGTACCCTAGGAAAATTTAATGAAGCATGTACATATACTATCCCGTAGAGGTAGAGGCCTTTTTTTTAGGGTTACAAGCTATAAGTTGACATGATATCTTGTTATTTTCACTTAAACTTAGGGGCATGCATTGGATGTCCTAAAATCTAAATTTAAACCTCTTTCCTCATTAATTGCCATATATTCAGTTCAGTTTAGCTCAGTTCAGTTCAGCTCAGTTCAGCTCAATTCAGTTCAATTCAGTTCAGTTCAGCTGAGTTCAGTCAATGAGAACAGGCCCTAATTCATAACAATGTTTATGTTTAGTTGTCCAAACCTTATTCCAATCAAAGTTTTATTATCAAAATAGATTAGGACCAAATATATAATTCATTCAATAAGAAACACCTATAAGCTTTATAATACATTTTGGACACCATTCATCCACCCCATAATTCAATTACTTATCATCAAATCTGAACTTTTTTTTTTTTAATTTTATTTTCAACAAAAGAGTACTCATGAGCAAGTCTTGGGGCCTGTTCTGGTTTGTTGAACCTAGCTAAACTGAATTGATTGGAGCTGAACTGAATTGAACTAAGCTAAATATTTTATGAGAGAAGGAAATTAGAAACTGAACTTAACTGATTGGAGTTGAACTGAACTAAACTAAACTGAAAATAAGCAGAATAGAACAGGCCCTTAGCCCCTTGAAATTCTCAACTAATATAGTTTACTACCTCCGTTACATATTATTTGCAACTTTAGAGGGTGCACGGACTCCTAGGCAAAATTATGGATGCATGTAATGAGGCGAGAGATAGAAAGAAATAACAACCATAAAAGAAAATAAAATATTTGTTGCAAATAATGTATAACATTCATTTTGAATTTTTGACAAAAATTACAAATAATATAAGGAAAATGTTGTCCATAGCCCTTAGGGCTGCATATAAGCATTAAATTTACACTTAAAAATCGTAAAAAGTTAAGAAATCATCAAAATATAAACACTAATAACACTGAGTTGCGCGTGTTTTTGTCATAAATTCCTAATTTTATACAATTTTCAAGAGTATATTTAATGCTTGTATATAAAACAAAGGTACTAGTAAATTAAAATCGAAATAATGCCAAAATGCGAAGTGCACGAAATTCATAAAACCAAACTTTTTTTCATTAGTACTCTAGCAATGATAATATCCCAATGTTATGCCAGATGTCAAATCTTTAATAAAGAATTAAAGCAGTATGAAGATTTGTAGTACAAAATTTTGTGCAAAACTAAACAAAAAATCATTAAGCAAAATAAAAGAAAAAAAATAAAAATGATTATTTATTTAATTAAATAGAAGGCACTTTCTGTTGAAGCTTATAAGTTTTGATGATGATGAACTTAAACTAAAGCAAACTCAACTAAAGGTTTATAAGTGTTTAAGTACAGGAGAAATGGACCTTGGTGAAGGAAGATCATCTTGTATTATGAAGACTTGGAGAATCTTTAAAGAGTTAATCAATAGAAGAAGAGTTCTCTAACAAGAACTAAATTCCTTAACAAGAATGTTCCCTAACAGGAACTTGAAGGTTGTAAGCTGGAGACAGTAAGTTCCACAAGGGACTTAGGTTGCGAAGTTCCAGTTGTGAACTGGAGACCAAGTGACAGCAGGAACTTGTTCCTGGCTTGCGTGAAGCCCAAGATATTCAGAATTACAGAAGCGCGGCATTGAGATATTAATTTTGTTAAGATTTTATCTTCTAGATTTATTGTTTAATATGTTAATAAGATATGCATGAAATCCATTAGAGACGTGACAAGATAATTTGGCAAAAAGATAAAATTGGAAAAATATAAAAAGATAGATTTTGGAAAAAAGATTTTGTTTTATTTATTTTCCTAAAATCAGTTGCAAAACGATATTATTCTCTAATATATATCTTCTTGTATTTTTCGGAAAGGATTTTTCTTTAACAAAATGATTTACCAAAAATCGTATTTAGAGATAAGGAAAGTTAACATCTTTATGAGGTAAAACTGCTTTCGATTTTTTGTAAGTTTATGCATGAAGAAAAACTTGTGAGCTTTATCAAAGTGTAAGTTTGCCAAGTTTTATCTTGTCATATTAGTTTCGGGTTTTATGCATAGCTTGCCTAACATATTCTAGACATACTATTTACTGTAATTGATTGGGTATTTGGGTGAGAGTGTATGAGATTTATTATCACATATAGTAGAAGTTATTTTGTAAAAAGAGTGCATTGGTACTGTGAGAGTACGAGTGAATTTAAGTCAGGGGATTTGAGTTGGGTAGGATTGAGTCTTACCGTGCTACAAGTTCTAGTTGGAACTTGTGTTTAAAGGTCTGGATTATAATAGGTTTGTAATTTCTTCATTGCTCTATTATAGTGGATTATCTGTGTGTTTGAAATCCCTTAGAAGGGTCGAGGTTTTACTTCCAGTTGGGCCCTGGAAGGTTTCCTCGTAAAACTGTGTGTGCACTATCAAGTTCCTTTTATATTTTGTTTTAATTTTGCAAAAGTAGTCATTAGGAACTTAATTACAATTCACCCGCTTCTAGTATTCGTTTCAACTAACACTTTCCAATTGAAATAAAAGGGTAGGCCTTCCACTGAGTCACTCAATTTATTCCTTTCAACTCAACTTTGTTTTGTCAGCCCACTTCTCATTTCTCAATTCTCATTCTACTCACTTAATTTTATTTCCTCTTAACTTTCTCTCTTATTTTTTTCCTTCATTCATTCTCTCATCTCTTTTAGTCTTTTTACCTTCTTCAATGGCTGCCCCTCCTCAATGCCCTGATCCTGATAACTCTGAACCTCTCAAATATAAGGTATTTTTATTCTTCTATTTCATTTCTTAATTAATTAATTTTTTATTTTTTTAATTAATTATTAATTTATAACTAATTAAGTCCTCTGTTTTTTTTCTGTTCTTTAGACATGGGTGTTGAGAGTTTCTATTCATTGTGAAGGATGTAAACGGAAAGTCAAGAGAATTCTCCACAGTGTTGAAGGTATTTTACAAACATTTTTCACAAATTTTCAATTTTTTTTTATATATTTTGTTGATCTATAATTTAATTTTCAAAGGTTTTTTTTTAGCTTATTTCTATCTGGGTCTCTGTCTTTTTTTTTTTTTTTTTTTTTTTTTTGATCCTTCAAGAAAATGTACTGCTACAAAATAAAAAGAAATTCTTGACCTTATTTTCTTCGTTCTTTTTTTTGTTCTACCCTCTTTCTGTTGTACAAAGTAATTATGAGCTGAATTAAACTCCATCTGTATCTTTGAAAATGCTGAAATTCTGTTTCATACCCATTAAAACAAAACTAAAAATTATTGTTATGTACTCTCTCCGATCTTTTTGTTCTACTCATTTTCTGTATTACAGAGTAATTTAAATTTCATTTTTTTATCATAAAATGCTGAATTTCTTACAAAAATTGCATGAAATTTTTGCAGGAGTTTACACAATAGATGTGGATACAAGGCAACATAAAGTAGTGGTTACTGGCAACGTTGATGCAAACACTCTTTTAAGAAAGCTTGAAAAATCTGGTAAACATGCTGAGTTATGGCCTGATTTCTACAAAATCGAACAACAGCAACAACAACAACAACAACAAGAGCAACAATTTCAAAACCAAAACCAAAACCCAAATGTTGTTGAAGAACAGCAGCAGAATAATAACGCAGAACCTCAAAAAGTACCTGAGAATAATCCACCCCAACAACAACCACAAGTTAAGGAAGTTAGATTCGAAGGGAATATTCCGGCCACCGGAGAATCTCAACAACCACCGGGAAACGGCGGCGGAGGCGGCGGAGGTGGTGGAGCTAAAAAGAAGAAGAAAAAGAAGAAAGGAGGGCAAAATGGTAATAACACTACAAACACCGCCGCGCCACCGAACAACGGTGGTGGAGGTGGTGGTGGAAATGGTGAGACAGTTACGGAGCAGGTGGCTAATGGTGGACCGCCAAATGGCGAATCACAACCTCCACCTCAGCAAAATCCGAATCCGAATCCAAACCCGAACCCGAACCCGTATCCGGAAAATATGAGTCCGCCACGTCAGCAACCGCCAAATACTCGGGTATACGAGTACCCACCAACTACATACTACGCGCCTCCACCAGTGTACGCCGTTAGTTACAATACGGCGTATCCTAGCAGCAATTACACTGCTTCGTACTATTCTGCGCCTCCACCGTATTCGTACGCGTATGTACATCACGGGGGTGACGTGGAGGGTCCTTCGCCGTTTGATTGGAATCCGCACGCTGCTCCACCGTCCGATTCGTTTGAGATTTTTAGTGATGAAAACCCGAATGCTTGCTCCGTTATGTGAGAGGAAACGAATCGGGTTATTTGATTTTAGGAAACGGATATGGATATCGTATATGTATGTATACAACTCGTATAAGGTGGGGGTAATTTTGGTAATTTAACTACTACGAGTAATGTGTATAATCTTAATCTAGGTGCCAATTTGAGGAGAAATAAGGGGGTCCTTCAAATGATGGTGTAATTTTCTTTATTCACTTTTTTTTTTAGATTTTATAATTGTTAAAACTAGTGCTAAGAATTTTGGTTCTAGCTAGTAAGTTCTTTGTTAGTTGTTTAATGTATACACACCCCCCTTTTTAATGTAAAGTGTATTTTGGCTTTTAGCTAATGGTCTAATCACTTTAACGGATGGTGTAAAAGATTAAATTTTCCTAGTTTACTTTGCAAATAGCCAACAACCACTAATTGTAACTACTTTTTGAAAATAATCAATGGGGAATTTTATTGTACCCCTTTTAGCAATGTTCTCTCCACCTTGGCAACATCCTTTAGTAGTGGATGCCGCCAATAGATAGATCATTTTTATATTCGGATCTTGCGTTTTCGGGTGGAGGCATGGTGGTGGCTCGGGCAGATTGGCTAGTTGTGTGATTTGGTGGCTTACGAGGCTAGGATGGGATCGGGGTGTTGTAGGTGTCATAGGTGACGGTTCTTGGACTAGACGATGACTAATGACTAGTAATATTGATATTTTTTTTAAAGAGGTGAAGAAGATGACTCGCTTGAGGGGGAGAAGGTAATTCCCTCGTATAAGCCCTATAAAATCTAATCGTTAGGCTTCAAATATGAAGAATGAAATATTGTCACTATTCCGCTCCCTCAACCTCTGATGAGGATAATATGAAGGCACGATGAATATATCTCTTTCATAATCACATTCATATATTATATGTTAAATATCTTAACAGACATGAATTAAGGAATAATAAGGGCCTTTTTTCATACAATTATTTTCACTTCAGTTCAAATCTAATAAGTTCAGTTCAGCTCTAATAAGTTCAGTTCAGTTCAGCTCCTAATTTCCTTCTCTTATAAAATATTCATTTCAGTTTAGTTCAGTTCAGTTCAGTTCAGCTCTAATAAGTTCAGTTCAGTTCAATCAATGAAAACAGGCCATAAGTGGTGATTTTCAGATAAATTTTAAGATTAGATCAAAATATCAATGTATCAAATCACAAAGACTGAACAAAAGCTCTAGCTCTAGGAGACTGGGAAGTGTAAATGCATAATGGTTAATTAAAGATTTATCCTTGAGTTTTGAGTCACTAGAAAAGAGCCTAAACCATTACAACTGACAAAGTAAAAAGAGGTGTTACATAAAGTACCTAAAAGTAAATGACTACAAAGTAGAACTAAACTCAGTTTTAGTTCAAATAAATGGAGTACTCCACTGATACAATTTCATCTACTGCTAGTACTAGTACTAATGTACTACTCCAATATTAGGTGTAATTCAATTTGATATTATGTCACTCGTTTGGTAAAGGATATCTTTTCTGCTTTTGATGACTTGGAAAGAGTCAACTACTCCTTTCTAAGTTTTGACTACTAATAAGAGTTTCTTTTACTCTCACTTTTTTTCTTTTTATTTATGGTAAATCGGTAATGATATGGCAAATTTTAACGCCATATTTGGTTATTAGCGAAAAAATTAAATAATATGAATAGGTTAGGTAATCAAAAAGTGATTTTAATATATATATATATATGTGTTTAGTGACAACAGAAAAGAGAAATAGAGATTATTGACAACAGAAAAGGAAAAATACATTAGTGGTTTACACGTGTTATATAGTAGCCATTTTTAAAATACAAGTGTTGTGCATAATATGAAGCAGAGACGGACATCCAATGAAAGAAGTCAAGTCCAGGCATGGTGCAATGGAGTGACTTTGGTACCAATAATATTTTGGTCTTCCTACCCAACTTTGTAGAAAGCAGGTGAAGGCATGTTTGGCTTTGTAATCATATCTAATGTTTGTATTTGTAAATTGTAATGTATACATCCAACTTTCTAGTTTAAAGATAAGTTTTAAAATTGTTTAAGTCTTTTTCACCCACAATGATTATGAATTTTATCTACGGAATTATTTACTTGGTTAATTAGTTAAAAAATTGTAATGGTTTTAAAAAAATAAATTTGCAATTGGTACTATGCCATATCCTATTGTCTATTGTAAAATTGTGAACTGCTTAAACATTATTAGGTATACTAAATTACTAAGGTACTGTTCACTTTACCTAACAAAAATAATATTTTGTAAAAATAATTTCACTTCAATAAAAATAAGTTTAGTTTAGTAAAATTTAGTAACTTTTAAAGAACAATTATAGTAGAAAATCAATAAATATAAATTCAATTCAGCAAAAATTATTTCAGTTTAGTAAAAATAATTTCAATTCGGTAAAAATAATTTTAATTTCAGTAAAAATTATTTTAGTTTAGCAAAAATAATTTCAATTTAGTAAAAATAATTTCAATTCAGCAAAAATTATGTGAAGTGATATAGGACCTGAATAAAAAATAAAAGGCGTTAGCCGTGTTACATATCAATACTGCATTAAATTTTCCACTCAAATATATATAACATATATCTTCTTTATCCCTTAAAGCATTTTTCTAATTTAAATGTGCCCATAATTAGGGCTGAGCAAAACTACCCGAAAAACCGTAAACCCGAAAACCCGTTCAGTTACCGTTCCGAAAATTAGGGTACCCGATCCGGTAACCATAATGGTCCGGGTACCCGTTCCGATAATTTGTTATCGGGTATGGTTATTGGGTATTATTTTAAAATTAACGGTTACCCGTTCCGAACTGATAAACAATTTTTTTTTATCCTACTTAAATCTATTTTTTCCAAAATCTAAACTCTTACTTTACTTCATAATCACTATATAATATCAATGATTAGTAATTTAATTAATAATTTGGTCAAGATCATGTGGTATTGTTGTTAATTAGTGTTAAAATATATCAAATAACTAATTTGTTAAGTTTAATGATCACTATTGGATAGTTTATTTATTGGGTACCTAATAACCGTTTCGAAAATCCGGGTACCCGAACTTATCGGTTCGGTTTATGGATATCACTTTTAGTGATATTGGTTATCGGGTACCCGAACCGTTAATACTAATGGTACGGGTACCCGTCCCATGCTCACCCCTACCCATAATACTATTCCTCTGTTCCATAATAATTAATACGTTTAATTTTTTATTTTTTTTACTACTCATATATAATCATAGTCTTTTTTTAGTAATGTAATAAAAAACAAATTTTATCAAGAAAAATATGTTATTAAATAGGTACTACTATAAGATTTAATAGTATAATTTTTTTTTTAAATATTTTTTTACTAACATTTAATCATATATATTTAAGGTCAAAATTAATACATTGACATATGTATCAACTTTGACTTTGGCAATTATTCTGAGATAAAGGGAGTATATTAGAGATAATTCCTCTGTTTCATAATAACCGACACAGTCAACTTTGCACAAATTTCAATACACCAGTTGACTTTATTTTTATATAATTAAATATTAATGTAAATTATTTTAAAATTAATATTATAAAATTTTATATTAATACCTACTCAACAACATATTTTATGATAAAATATACTACCTTTAAAAGTTATGTGCAACTTTAGAATATTTTATACGGAGTATCTCACAAATAATACCCCAAAGTTGCACATAACATTTAACGAATGTAGTAATTTAATTATATTTGTAAAAAATTATGGTCAAAACTAATATATAAATAGTGAAAAAGGTTGAACTTCCCAGCAATTCTAGAATGGAAAGATTAGATACAGAGTTTAAAAATTAATTTCAAAGTGCTAAATTCAAATAATAAAAAAAAATGACATAGTAAAAAGAAGCAAAATTTTACAGTATTTGATATTATAAGGAAAGAAGGTGGAAATATCCAATTATACCAATCTATATCTACCCCTCTTCCTTAAAAGTTGTGAATTGATTCAGAAAAGAAAGAAGATCACAAATGCAATTCTTCCCCACCATTTCCTCTCTTTTTCCATCTTTTTCATTTTCATCAAAATCTAGAAACATCCCTTTACTTATAAGGTTTATTACTTTATTCTGTTGGATAATCATTCACTTACTTTGACATACCCATGATTTGCAAATGACAATTTTTTTTTTACTTATATTTGTATGTATGATGATAAGGACACAATACAATTGGATATGATATAACTATAAGAACATAACAATTTTATGATAAAATGATTTACTACTCCTTTTGTTTTTAAATTAATTGATACGTTTTGACTATTAATATTATTTATAAATTTACTTTGACTAATTATAAATTATTATTAAGGAAAAAAATAATTATATTTAATTCCTCTAATATATAGGGTCAAATGAGAAGGGACTTAAAATGAGAAGGATGAGAAGTAATCTCATACTTTCAATTAAATTTATCCAAATAGCTCTAATAACATGCTTTATTAATGGCAAAACTGTAAATAATGAAAAAAAAATCACATCTCTTTTTCTCCTCGAGTGTTTTTCTTCCGCTCTTTCCCTCCATGTTCAGCACTCTACCCCTTTTTTTTCTTTCTCAAAGAGTTAATCTCCCCCATCTTTCTATCTCCACCCATTCATCTCCTTCTCTCTCCTCCTTATTCATCTTTTTTCCTACCCTTTTTCTCTAAAATTTCATAAATTTTTTCATGAATATGTATAGTAAGTGTATCGTGAACATAGCAAGCATTAAAGAAAATAGAGATGATCAAATATGCATAATATCTAAATTAAATATGCATTATTCTTGTAAAAAAAAATGTGCATATTTTAAAATTGATATGTGCGTGCATATTAATTTACTGATAGAAATGTGCAAATCCAATGTACTAAAGATATATATTCTTTTAATTAAATGTGCATAATGTATATATTCTTAAAGATGAAGATGGTATGTCTATTTTAAACTCTGGTCAATTGATTAATGATGATTTCAACAATCCATCTTTACAAGTTATAAGATTGATCCTTTTTACTAGGTTAAGACATCTGTGAATGGCAATCCTGTAATGTTTAACATTATGACGAGTTCAAGATTGCAATACAACAATTGAACTCATCAGGGTTATGAAGTGCTAAAATACTTATTATTGAGTTTCCAAAGTACTCCTAACGACAATTACTTTCTTATCTCTAAAATCAAAAGTTTGTTTGTTAAAAAAAAAATCAATAGTTTGGACTCTGAATAAGTTCTATTAGGGGGAGAGAAAGAGTCTGTTGGAGTGAAGACAGAGATTGGAAGGAACAAAAGTATATG